CAGCTACCTTGTGCTACCTGATAATCTGAGTTTGCATGTTATGAAGACAATTGCCTGGTCACGCGTCAAACACTTTCATGTACCCGCCTTGTATACACGAGGGTTAAAAAACCCAGTAATGTTGGTAATTTTAGATAAAAAAAAATGAGAGCAGATAATTTAATTAAAGACTGAATTCATAAAATATTTGTTTTCAATCTTCAGTTACAAGAATATGTCGTCCTAGATAGAATTAAGACCGTCCACGGAAACTATAATTCCAAACTTTACTTGCCGTAAGTGGAAGTTCATGTACCGTTTAACACTGTTAAAATTATAATTAAAAAATAGAATATAGTAAATAGGATATATGAAATATTCAGCAATACCAGCATGGTATTCAAACGATGTTTAATCTCTGTATATTGAATACAATCTACGCGATGTTAAAGGAGATATTGTAAAGAAAGAATGGAATTATTGCTCGAATTTTCTCTGACATCTGTCTTTTTTCGTAATGAAAAGAGGCTAACGAACAGTAATCGATCTTAAAAGGATATATTTCAAACAATAAAATTTTGTTAGCGCATAAACACTGGGAAATATTGTATATCTTGAACAATATTGTTCCAGAAAATACCGGGTAAGAAAAAAATATTCCGAACGCGGTAAATGTTAACACGACGGATAAATGTTTTTTTTTTAATTTAAATATTCACAATAATTAAATCATGGTGATTTCTTTTATTGAATATTTAAAAAATATAAGGATATGATTGCTTTGTAGTTTTTACTGTGACCATTTCTTCTTTTTTTTTTTTTTTACAAACAAAATTATAAACGATAGATTTCTTAATTTTTTTTCCTTCCAAAGGTTACGATGAATGCGTTTAGTTTACAAATACATGTAAATTTTACATTGAAATAATTAAATTTAATTAAGTTTACTTAGTAGTTTCACTCAAAATTAGACACGAAACACGTAATGTTGACCTTGATTACCAAACACAGACTTCCTGTGTAATGCTACGTATACACAGATTTTTGACATCTTGGGTATTGGGGGTCTCCAGGTAAATAACACCACTGTTACTTTGACCACTCCCCCTCCTCAGGTAACCGTACGGTAAAAAAATTGGGTCTTTAACACTGGTAGCATAAATAATTGTGCGTGGAAATGCCTCCAATTCCAAAGAATCAAGTAAAAACTGCATGGACATTTCTATGGAGCTGTCATTTTTTTTAACATAGTATTTAATATTTGATTTATCTGGTGATCTTATAATTAATGTTGTACATTCTTTTTGTAACCCAAGTTCCTTCATAACTGTTCTACGAATTGTCTTGTTACATGTTGCACTGACAGCCAGTAAATTTGCAGACGGAAACATGGACCTAAGCTCTCCTAGGTGCCGGAACCATTTCCTAAAGGCCAGCTGCTCCTCATCCCCTAATCCTCCCCTGCAAGTAAAATTGTATGATAATACATATGAGAATAAAATAAATTAAAAAGAACTATTTACTCAGATGTGTGGTTAAAAATGATTTAATTATTATAAATGAAAATAAGGTTGCCATCGATTGGAGTGAATGAAAGACTTCAGTTAAAAAATGCATGTCTCTTACCATGTGCACATAGTGTGGCATTCATCTACTACAATTGTATCAACTTTAAATTCCTGAAGTATTTGCCGGAAGCCACTGTTGCCAACCAATACCTCTGGCGATGCAATAAGATAATCAAACTTGCCCTCCGCAATAATATGGTCACTGTCTTTACTCTCGCCTGTGAAAAAAAAAAATGGCTATAATCTTGGTAGCATACTCGTATTATCCGATTGTACCAGGCCCTACATAGCAGGGGCGTAGTATCAGGGGGGGCCAGGGGGGGCCAGGCCCCCCCACTTTTTCTCCCGACATTACCTTTACTATAGAAAATGTATACTGAAAGGAAGGTTGGCCCCCCCACATTTCAGCAAAGGGTAGTGTTAAAAGAAAAGTAACCCCAAAAAGTTTGAATTGAAAGATAGTTGGTCTTGAGAAAAGTTAGCCACTACCCCCCCCCCCCCCCCCCCCCCCCACGAAATAGGATTTTCGACTTGGGGCAACTTTTAATTCCTTTTTTTTTTTTTTTTTTTTTTTTTTTGCTTGTCAACTTTTTCAGGTAAGTAAAAAAATTTTTTCTCAGGTTGGCCCCCCCACTTCCAAAAACGATGCTACGCGCCTGCATAGTCATAACATTTTAGAGCGCGGAAATGATGAGGGGGACTGTTTGATTTACCTCGACTCTAAAAGTCGAAGATCCGCATTCTTCCCCCCAATGTAATTATATTTAAAAAAAAAACAAAACAAAAACCTACCTTTGTAAACTGCTTTAACATTTGGAATAGAGTTCAATCTATCCACTTGATCTTGCATTAACGCAATTAAAGGCGAACAAACGATAATCTTTCCGACGTTGTAAGAGTCTAAGTCTGGGGATCTCTGAATCTGCAACTGTTTTCGGACAGGTATCAACATCTGATATGGCAACGACTTCCCATATCCGGTTGGTAAAATTGCCATGCAGTCTTTATTATTCAGAGCTGTCAATAAAATATCCTTCTGTTCCTCCTTTAACGTTTGAATCTTGAAATCTTGCAATACTTTCTCAATAGCATTCTCCAGGTCGGTCGCCATTATCGAAATTTTCCCGAACTTTTTCACAACGAAAAGCGTTTGAAAAAAGCTCTCTGATTGGCTAATCTGAACAATGAATATGCATGACAAGAAGGTCACTGGATTTGACCTACAAATGGGGTTTCGTTAGATCTTTGTGTAGCGATCAAACTGGAGCGGATCAAAGATCTAATTTTAATTAGATTGAATTCTTCATCAACTTTATTGATGTATTAGTTAAAGTAAGATGTCTTCTTCCATTTATGCGCATTTAGCAAAAAAAAAAAATATAAGGATTGATTTTGGGTGAGTAATGTTTTCTGTGATACCAGTCACAGAACGTCTGCTCTGTTTATAAACATTTTTTTAAACATGGCATCAAACTTTGATTTAAATTATAATTTAAATCAACATCTTGATCAATCAACAAAGAATGAAGATGATGATGTAGACTGGGGGGCTCTAGATTTCTTCCTTGATGACGAATTCCAACTGGGACAAATTGTTTCCACATCAGAAGAAGATGCAATTAAGGAATTAGAAGCTGCATTTTCTCCTGAAAGAAAAGACAAGAGGCCCATGGGCCTTATAGGTCACCTGAGCATTATGCAACAACTTTCCAGTGATTGAATTTGATTCATGTTTTAAGCCAGATGCTATGGCATTCACAATTTTGAAAGAGGCACCATTGATCATCATAACAATACACTTAGCAGTTGCTTAGTTTGTTTACTTAATACCCATATACGCAGGGTACGGGAACAAAAATGCATTTCACAGGTCGAGACCACTACCTTATATGGAAGGCAATTTTCAACACGTGACGATGTCTTCGTCACGCCCGTTCTCCAACCAAGTGAAAGAGTCCCAAAGCATAACAGTCTACCACGTGTTTACGATTCAATGGCTACACGTGGTTTTCGTCGGTTTACTGCACAAAATTTAACTCGTCACCGGAAAAACTATAGAGCTTCTTTATAACTTTATTAGACCGAAATTGAAAGATTATATTCTAAAGACACTGCTCCATGCTCACATTTAATATTGGAGTTGTTTTAGATGATTAACAGTTGCTTCGAATATCGTACAAACGCTTTGACTTTTGCATATACATAAAACGCTTTCTGATAATATTGAGGGGTTTAATAATAATTGCACACTTTCTCCTGCTGTCTAAAAACAAGGACCTATATACTACCTGCGAAAGCTATGTACACGTATATCACGTGAATAAAACTCAATGTTTTATCGACACGATACATGTAGCACTTTGAACAAAGGTATACTAGGCCGATGTATTACAAGTTGATATAAGGCTTCATAAAGCAAATTTTGTAAATGTGAGCATAAAAATGAAAGATTATGCATCATTTTAAATAATTCTTTCACAAATTTCAAAAAAGAATTGAAAATAAGTTTCCAAGGGACAATTCAAGTTGCCTTTAATTTTCAACACAGCTAGGTACTTGTAGTAGCCCACAATGCATTGCGGCTCATTCAGCAGTAGGTAAAGTAAACATATTAGCTAATTTACATGCAAATTTATTCTGACGTCAGAAAATCTAGTGGTCTCGACCTGTTTCAACTAATCGGTAATATTCAACAATAATCAGTATTGCCCCTACCATACATGAACCCCTGACCCTTAGGCCTTGATATTTGATTAATACCAAGGAGCAGATTTCAAACCATTCATTCATTTTCAGTATATAAGTACACCCCCCCCCTCTATGGTACCCCTGAGCCTGGGGCCTTGAAATTCACAATTCTGGAAGATATGGGCCCTTGTCCATTATAACTATATTGGAAAGTCATCTGCTTAATACCCTGGAGCAGAGAAGAAAATTCTCAAAGATTTAATGTATTTTCACTATATAATCAATAGAGCCCAACCCTAACACATGAACCCCTGACCCTGGGGCTATAAAATTCACATTATGGAAGAGGCATTCTTGCTCATCAAAACTATGTAATTAGTTAGTTTATTTATTTTCTAGGAGCAGAGGAGAAGATTTTCAAAGAATTCAGGTATTTTTCACTATGTAATCTATAGAGCCCCGCCCTAACACCAGAACCCCTGCCGCCATTAAATTCATAATTTTGGTAGAGGCACTCTTGCTCATCATAACTATGCACTTAGTAAGTTTATTTAATACCCAGGAGCAGAGAAGAAGATTTTCAAAGAATTAATGTATTTTCACTATATAATCAATAGAGCCCCGCCCTAACACCAGAACCCCTGACCCTGGGGTCAAAAAGTAATCAATTATGGAAGACGCATTCTTGATCATTATAACTATGCACTTTGTTTATTTAATACCCAGGAGCAGAGAAGAAGATTTTCAAAGAATTCATGTATTTTCACTATATAATCAATAGAGCCCCGCCCTAACACCAGAACCCCTGACCCCGGGGCCGTAAAATTCACAATTTTGGTAGAGGCATTCTTGATCATCATAACTATGCACTTAGTTTACTTAATACCCAGGAGCAGAGAAGAAGATTTTCAAAGAAATAATGCATTTTCACTACCTACTTATTTAGCCCCGACCTAGCACTAGAACCCCTGACCCCAGGGCCATGAATTTCACAATTTTGGTAAAGGACTCATTGCTGATTACAATCATGCAAACAGTTTGACTGCTTGATGTCCAGGAGGAAAGAAGAAGATTTTTAAAGACTGCATTAATTTTAGTGGCTTTGGCCCCACCCCTCAGGCCCCAGGGGGGCAGGGATCATGAAATTCACAATTTTTGTTCCCCTTTACCCATAGATGCTTTATGCCAAATTTGGTTGAAATTGGTTCAGTGGTTGCAGAGAAGAAGCTGAAAATGTTCAAATGTTTACGCACAACGCACGAAGACGGACGAAAACAGATAGCAATAGGTCACCTGAGTTTACTCCCAACAAAATTTAAAAATTCTTCTGGACCATCTACAGGTTAGAGGTACAAAACTGCCACTGAAAAGGAACTTAGTGACCTACAGGAACAAAGGCAGTCAAGTTCTACTAAAAAGAACACCAAATGGGATGTTAAATTACTTAAAGGTAAAAAAATTATATGTTGAAAATATTAAAGCAATTTAATATATCAATACACCATAAATTTGACCCGGATTGGGAATTCAAATCTTTCATGGCATATGATCATAAGCGCTTTCTTTAAACTTCTGGTGTTGTGACAATTTTTAACTCCCCCCTTTTTTTCTAGATTGGAGTATGGAATCACTAGGATACCTAACAGATTTCGAGACCATTTCTGCCAGAGATTTGAACACACTCTTTGGCAGATTTTATGCAGAAGCATGTATTAACAGTCAGACAAACAGAAACCTAGCCAAAATATCGAATACCATAAAAATTCTTTCAAATCTATCAGATCAGCACTCAACAGATACCTACAGGACTTGGGACGGGATTTCGATATTGTTATGGGAAGGGAATTTCGCACTAGTAACCACATTCTAGATCGATTGATTGTATATGTTTAACGTCCCTCTCGAGAATTTTTCACTCATATGGAGACGCCACCACTTGCCGGTGGAGAGCTGCAAATTTTGTCCTATGCTCGGCACTCAGGGCCATTGAGCAGGGAGGGATCTTTTCCTTGCCAGCACCTACTGCGACACGGGACCTCGGTTTATACGGTCTCATCCTAAGGACCGGTCTCCACGTCCCACAGTGGGATTCGAACCCGCGACGTAAGGATTGACTCCTTACTTCGCGACTCTAGAGCAGACGCTCTAACCACTGCGCCACGCGGGCGACCACATTCTAGATGGAAAATTGAAGAGAAATCTGCAGGCCGATTTGCTCAAAATTTCTGCTTACCTTTTTGATACAAAAAATCCAATCACCCTCCGCATCCGAACATGGTTCATAATTTCAATGCAATTCGTCACACGTGGATTAGAATTCCATCACCAACTGAAACGGGACTCTTGTTTTCAAAACGGATAAAAATGGCGATGAGTATGTCACATTATCTCTCGAAACTAAACAAATAAACTGGCAAGGTGGGATAGACTTTACAAAAAATCCAAAGGAAATACGTATGTAGGCTGTGCCTAGCGCTGGAGATAAATGTCCATTAAAAACGCTTCAATTCTTTATGTCAAAAACCTATCCTAATCAGTGTTCGACATTAACGTTAGTCCTTTAGTCTCAGACTAATACATTTTTATTCGGACTAACAAAATTTGTAGCTTATCAGTCCGAACGGACTAATAAAATTTTCTGTAGAAAAAAAAAATTACCGATGTTCAAATTCTCGACAACTTTCACTGGAAAACCCCGCATTTATTTTTAGCTTTCTATCTTCTTCGCGGGAAGTTAGGTACTAGTAATTCTGAGTCAATTCGGCGCTTAATTTTAGGACTCATTGTTATGAAATAGTCTCGTTCAACCAGACGCTCGGCTGTCTCCATAAACACCGACCAGCAGAGACTCTGGGTGGTCGGAGTTTTACGGAGACAACCGAGGGTCTGGTTGAACGAGACTTTGTTATGAAAGTAAACATAGTAGCGATCATGATTTAGTATGACACATAAAGAAAGATGTCGGATGTATGGATGATGTAATAATGTATAGAGAAAAAACAAACGAGATCGGGAATACAACCGTAGTCCTGATCGAGCGATTTAAACGAATTCTTGGTATAAACATTTCTTGAAAATGCTTTGTTTATTTCAAAAGAGTATAAAAATACATTGCAAGTTTACAACAGAAATTCTATTTATTTACTTATATTTTTGACGGACTCATAAATTTCCCGCGGACTAGTATAAATAAAGAAGCACTAGTCCAGCCGGACTAGAGCCTAAAAATGTTAGTGTCGAACCCTGCCAAATGCAGAATTCCTGCTTAATCGTTGTATCAAAGCCACACTTTTTTCCCGGAAAACCTAGAAATTTGGTATGATAACATTCCACTTAAACCATACCAATTTACTCGATTCATTCAAATTCTTAAACCTTTATAGAATCATTGTAGATCAGATGTTTTTTTTTTTGGGGGGGGGGGGGGAGGTAGTAATCGGAGAAGCAGGGGCGTAGCATAAGGGGGGGCCTGGCCCCCCACTTTTTTTCCCAACCTTACTTTATAGGAAATGTTCATTGAAAGTGTATTGTTTTGTATTAGTCTTATAATGTGGGTTCCCTGGCTGGATATGCGGATTCTCAACTGACAACACGTGTGTACAAAAC